AGTTACATTGTGGTATCACAAAATATTTTTTCTCGCGAACATATAAATCATGGAGTGATGTCAAAAGAATTTGAAGAGCTACTGCTTTGTAGAAACTAGTGACTGATGGCAGGTACTTGACCACTCTGAATCATACAACTGTAGAAGAGGCAAACACTGGGGATGACCACACTGGGTTAGTTAATGCAAACTTGGTGTATAAGCAGAATTGCATCCTTCAAATGACTAGTATTTCTTGATATACACATTTTTGTTATTATTATGAAGTGGTATACCCTTGTTAATACACACCTTAGATAGTCACTTTTAAAAATAAGGAGAGAACTCAAGAGGCTGAGACAGGAGGATTGCTGCAAATTTGAGGATTACCTAGGCTACAAAGCAGAACAAAACAACTTCACTGGTCTCCTTCCCCCTTGAAATCAGAGCTTTAAATTTCCATAGAGCTATTGTTGTGGTGGTGGTTTTCTTTTCTTTTCTTTTTTCTTCTAAAATACAATTCAGAAGGGAGCTACTTTATGTCTGACTATATCTATAACTATTGTAGATGTTACTACATCTAAAAGGGTTGGCATTCACTGAAAATATTAATAGTCCTGTTTTAATGACTTGAGATTCTCACAACAAAGTTCTTCAGTAAGTGCACCTTTAAGTTTAGCCTCATCAGTAAGAAAACTGGAACAAAACGGTAAATTCTAAGGAAATGCACTGCTTTTCCACCCTTTATAGAGTCTGGGGATAAATGCATTATTTTATCATCAAATACTTCTTCAATACTGAGTTTATAGCAGATTATTCTTTGAAATTTTCCTTACAAATGGCTTGCTGAACAGAACATGGTCTAATAGCTGAGCAGTCGGGACAGCACCTGCTGCCCTTCATCCTTTGAGTCTTGCATGGGCTTGATTCTTTAATGTAGATCAATTTCAGGTGTGGCATTCACAGCAGCAGCAAGGTTGTCTTAAGACATAGAATAACTAGCTTTTTGTTTAGAAAACAAAAGTCCCGTCAAGATACTGGTGGTCCTTGTTTTCCTCTCATCTATGGTAGGAAAACTGTAGTGTCTACTTCAGTACATTGATTCTTGAAAGGAATGTCATGTCCATTTTCTTCACACACACACACACACACACACACACACACACACACACACACACACAGAGAGAGAGAGAGAGAGAGAGAGAGAGAGAGAGAGAGAGAGAGA